TGGATTGTGTTTTGGAGCTGTAAACACATGGAGCTACAGATTTAAACAACGAGACTTGAGGTTAGTGTCTCATTGGTCCTTCACTCCCTCCTCCTGATGAAAAAGTCAGATGAATGTGACATGAGCGTTCACACTGCAGTCACTTTGAAAACATCAGACATGTATCCGATTTAAAACCACATACTGAAACGGCCTGGGTCGGATTTGAAAAAATCGGATTTGTCTCGTTCAGACTGTCATAAAAAAATCGGATTTGTCTCGTTCAGACTGTCATAAAAAAATCGGATATGAGTCAGATGGGTCAAAAAAAATCGTATTTGGGTCGGATTTGCCTGCAGTGTGAACGTAGCCTTTGATAACCAACATSAAAACTGAACTAGACAACAGAAAATTAGACACATCACTCAAAATTATTGTCTTCAACTTTACACATACAGTAAGCTGCAAATGGTTAACAGAGCACAGGCTGCTAAGCATCTTTATGATGTTGTAAATAAACTTCTGTCTTGTTTCCAGGTTTTCATTTTGTAGAGTTGATATTTGGGGTATGTTGAATACTGAACCATACCAGCTATATTTATAGAGCACTTTAAACACCCACAGGACCAAAGTGCTGTACACATAATAAAACATTTATTTGCTCATACAATCAGTAAAATTTAATCAAAACATCAAAAATCAACACTACAATTGTTGTTCAAAGGCCAGATATAAGAGATGGGTTTTAAGAAGAAATTTAAAAACAGACAGGGATGACACCGGTCTGTTTTTACATTTTTTAAATTGTACTGCGACATTGAACAAAAATTAACATCAGGTGTCTCAGTGAATTACATAAATAAAGTAAGCCAAAAAATACTTGTGTACATTCTTAAGTTATCCATAACATGATCAATTAATAAAATTGCCCTTGGCTTGATGCAACCTGTGCTCAAATCTGCAAAGACTGCAGCTCACACCACATCACTTCTATGTTTTCTGGAATTAGGAAAATTGTTTCATTTATCTGTAGTTATGTTAATTGAGTTATTAAATAAAACAAATTCAAAATTAAAGTGCAGCTTAAACAGTAACAGACTACAAAGATACCCAGGCGAGTTGAATATTTACTGTACTCACCTTGCATCCAACTGTAGGCGGGTTTTTATGAGCCATATTGGATTTGTCGCTGTGATGGCTGTAAAACCTAAAGATGGGAAATTTAAAGCAGAATTATGCTTCCAGAAAAGTAGAGTACAACAATTGGCTTTAAGTTTGAAGCTGCCACTTGTGATGAACTACATTCTAGTAGCTGGTTAAAATGTAAAAGTTCTTTAAGCTGCATCAATGTCTGCAATAGCTCAGGTATTTGATGTCAACTTTTTTTAACCCACAATTTGAAATTTTAAAGGCAACTTAGAGAAGAAATGCTGAACCCTTCATGGATTATTAGAGGTGAACAATATGTCAGAACTGCATTTATTACTAAGCTGTTAAATGATCTTATCCAGAAAACAACAGGGTAAGAGAGTAGAGGAAAGAAAGGCTAAAGAAGCACAGATCTGTGGTGAGTACTCACGCAGACCCAAGTAACTCCTCACATATGCAGCTAGAGACCCCTGGTGGTGTGGGGGTCTCATGCCCTTGCGAGAGGAGAGCTACGGTAGAGTAAAAGCCTAAAACAAACACAGGCTTGTGTGTAGCAAAATGACCGGCATGCATCCATTTAACTTCCCATTCCCCACATTATCCCACAGGATTTAATCTGCCACAACCTCATGTGAAATGTTCACCCAACACACCAAAAGACAGAATGAGGGGCACAGCAGCTGACATTCTGACAACACATGAAGCCCTAACAAAACAGTAAAATCACAAACAAAATAACAGGTTTGAAATGATAAAACTATGAACATACACGTTACTCAAGATCAGTGGTGGACAGTAACAAAGTACTTTTACTTTATTACTGTAATTAAGTACATTTTTTGAGTATCTGTACTTTACTTGAGTAGTTATTTATTTGGGAACTTTTTACTTTTACTCCACTACATTTCAAAGACAAATATTGTACTTTTTACTCCACTACATTTCTAAGAAGCTTGTAGTTACTCGTTCCTTTTAGATCAGCATAGCTTTGTAATCCGCTGTAAAAAAAAAATAAAAAGAAAAAAATCTGTTGTTCCGGTTTTTCTTTTCATGAAATGCAATTGGCCACAAGCTATGTTCGTCACAAAGGTAACCAATCACATGCGTAGCTTATAGCCTACGTCACACTCGTTAACTCTCAGTAGCGGAGCGCGTGCTCCCATCACTTTACTTTCATTTCAAGCAGAACCAGACAAAAGAAGAAGATGCAATGGAAACCATTGAGGAAACGCAAGGAGAGAAACCAGCACACCCATGGCCATATCTCAGTTCAATGTTCGAGGTTTTAGGACTTAAAAATAATACATATCAGTTCAAATGTCTTCTCTGTTTACCACGTGTAAAGTACCTTTCAGCATTCCATAACTCACCAACCTGAGAAAGCACATTGAGGTAAGTCAGCAAACATTTTTCTCACTAGTTTAAACTCTTTAAATGAAGTTGACTTTAGTTAGAGTGGTTGTGGTTTAATGCTGTGAGAGATTGATAAATAGCCGACCATTGTGTGC